CATTCCAACATGATTCCTTGCGGCAGAAACATGACAAGGTGCATCTTAGACCACTAGAAGCGAAACCGCACGCCTTGGGATTGCCAGATAAACATTCTTTGGCCTTTGCTGTGCGCATTGAAAGGATTGATGGCATGAGTTTACTAGCGCAGAGAACCACTGCAAGACTTCACCTAAAGACAATTTTTAATGGTGTCTTTGTAAAAGCCACCCCCCAGAACCTAAAAATGCTGCGTATAGTGGAACCTTATGTGACCTAGGGATTTCCAAATCTGGAGTCCAGGAATTTTGAATTTTGAAACGTGGACAAGCCAAGGTCAAGAATAAGACCATCTCTCTGACAGAAAACACAGTGATTGAGGAGCACTTGGGGAAGTTTGGTGTCATTTGCTTGGAAGATCTCATTCATGAAATTGCCTTCCCAGGGAAGCATTTCCAGGAGATCTCATGGTTCTTGCGCCCTTTCCACCACTCAGTGGCCTGTCATGTTACCAAAAATAGAGTGGGCTTCCTCAAGGAGCTGGGCACACCTGGCTATCAGGGTGAATGCACTGATCAGCTCATCCGCCAGCTGAACTAGACCCAGGTGCCAAACTGCAGTAAATTTTTATCAATGAAGTGGAAGCATGTGTTTTTGTTTTTTTGGAAATTTTTATCAAATATCTTCAGAGAAGATTATTTCCTGCCTTATCTTCAAATACTGGAAAGGAAGGGTCAAAGACAGTAGCTGGCCGGGAACAGTGGTTCACACCTGTAGTCCCAGCACCTTGCAAGGCTGAGGCAGGAGGATCACCTGAGGTCGGGAGTTTGAGATCAGCCTGACCAACATGGATAAACCCCGTTACTACTAAAAATACAAAAATTAGCCAGGCACGATGGCACATACCTGTAATCCTAGCTACTCAGGAGGCTGAGGCAGGATAATCGCTTGAACCCGGGAGGAAGAGGTTGCAGTGAGCCGAGATCACGCCATTGCACTCCAGCCTGGGCAACAAGAGTGAAACTCTGTCTCAAAAAAAAAAAAAAAGACAAGACAAGACAGTAGCTTATGTTCATGGCAAGCACCTCTCATCACAGTCCAGTTCCAAAAAAAAATTTCAGTCTTTCCTACATTGGCTTCTGCCTTCTCTGAAATCAGCACATTCCATGGAAGAAGGAGTCCTGCTTTTGTTGCTTCTTCTATTCTAGGGTTTAATGTTGGTAAATGAGTAACTCTAGCGTTCATACAAGGTTCCCTAAGACTCCTGCAGCAGTCGACCAAGCCCAGGGACACAAGTGAATCTGGAGATTCCTGGGGCCTTGTTTTGAAAAAGACTTGAAATACACATAGGAAGAAAGGCACAAAAATAAATGTTCACTTGTCTCCGCAACAAAAAAAAAAAAAAAAAAAAGGCAGCTTGAGGCTTCCTTGACTTATTCCCTCTGAGCACTTTCCCCACTTAATATTAAGGAGGAGTTCTTTATATTATTTGGTGAATGGGGACTTTTTTTTTTTTTTCCTCTTGGTATCTTGACACTAAATTAGTTTGGGGTGTTTACTCCTCTTACATTCTATCCCTGTATAGATAAATGAAAAATATTTTAGAAGCTGTTAAAAGAATTCTAAAGTGTGGGCAGATGCTAAGTGATTATGACAGTAAATAATTTCTTTTGTTCCTGTAGGCTTTAATATCTCTCCTACAAGATAGTACCTTCATAAATTGTCTTGTGGAAACATTATCTAAAAATTTCATTTAGGACAAAGGAGACTAGAAGCTTTTGTCATTAAACATGAAATAGCCTTGCTTTCTTTACTCCTAGAAATGTAGGCAGTATTTCTAGAAATATTTAATGATAGCGAACCACTTCCTGGCCATCAATTTGATTCCCTTCCATTTTCCTAGACTTCTGAAGAGGTCTCACTTCACATTATTTTGCATTACAGAACACAGTCTTTATACTACTACTTCTTTTTTTTTTTTTTTTTGAGACAGGGTCTCACTCTGTCACCAATGCTGGAGTGCAGTGGCGCTATCTCAGTTAATTGCAACCTCCGCCTCCCAGGTTCAAACGATGCTCCTGACTTAGCCTCCGGAGTAGCTGAGATTACAGGCACACACCACCATGCCCGGCTAACTTTTTGTATTTTTAGTAGAGACGGGGTTTCACCATGTTGGCCAGGCTGGTCTCAAACTTCTGGCCTCAAGTGATCCGCCCGCCTCAGCCTCCCAAAGTGCTGTGATTACAGGCATGAGGCATCCTACTTGCCCACTGCCTTTATTCTGATAGCTGTTTCTCACCTGCTTCCTTACTCTGCTCCTCAAAACAAGTCTGAAATCCTTTTCCAGTAAAAATCTACTCTTTGGACACACAAATAACAACTGCACATTAGATTTTTAAAAATATTTGTTTTAAGATTAAACACAAGCCAAAAATCACCATAAGGTGACTATTTTTGTCCTAAAATTTAGTGCAAGCCAGAAACTTCCAAGGCAGAGGCAGTAAAGAGTAGTGACTGAAAGCATACCACACTTTGGAGACAGTCAAGCTGAGTTTGAATCCCAGCTGTGCCCCGCTAAGCTATGCAACCAATATTGGGATTTACGTTACCTCTTTATCTTTTGTAAAATAGGAACAACAAAAATACCTACTATAGAGGAGTGCTGTGGGGATAAACACAAAAGAATGCAATAAAAATGCTTAGTGTAACGTTTGGTACACTGTGAGTGATCAACATGCATTAGTTATTCTCTCCTTTTTTTTTTTTTTTTTTTTTTTCCAGAGGCAGGGTCTTTCTGTGTTTCCTAGGCTAGTGCAAACTCCTGGGCTTAATGATCCTCTCCTTGGCCTCCCAAAGTGATTACAGGCATGAACTACCACACCTAGAAATGCCGTGTAGAATGGTAGTCTAACTTGACTATTTAGAATTACTAAATAGAAATTATTTACCAATACACAGATATGTTTTCTTTATATGTCCTATTTATTTTCTTGGAGAATTTCATAAACTTTCGATTTTTACAACTACAATTCATTGTAAAAACAATTATTAGTTATTAAAAAAATATGGCCAGCCACAGTGGCTCAAGTCTGTAATCCCAGCACTTTGGAAGGCCAAGGCAGGCAGATTAGCTGAGGTTAGGAGTTCGAGACCAGCCTGGCCAACATGGCGAAACCGTCTCTACTAAAAATACAAAAATTAGCCAGGCATGGTGGCGTGCGCCTGTAATCCCAGCTACTCAGGAGGGTGAGGCAGAAGAATTGCTCAAACCCAGGAGGTTGCAGTGAACTGAGATTGCACCATTGCACTCCAGCCTGGGTGATAAGAGCAAGACTCTGTCTCAAAAAAAAAAAAAAGTGAATTAAAGTAAGGTCTTACAAGTGAACACTGAAGAACAAGAATGTCCATATTGGCTGTGCACAGTGGCTCATGCATGTCATCCCAGCACTTTGGGAGGCTGAGGCAGGTGGATTGCTCGAGCTCTGGCATTCAAGTTCAGCCTGGGCAACGTGACAAAACTCTGCCTCTACAAGAAATACAAAAGTTGGCTGGGCATGGTGGTGCACACCTGTATTCCCAGCTACTTAGAAGTCTGAGGTGGAAGGATTGCTTGAGCCTAGGAAGTTGAGGCTGCAGTGAGGTGAGATCGCACCACTGCACTCCAGCCTGGGTGACAGGGCAAGACCTTGTCTCAAAGAAAAAAAAAAAAAGGAAAAAAAGAAAATATCCATATTTTTTGTTCAGACAACTGCAACTGCTTACCCGCCTATTAATTACTTCTAATTATATTTATAGTAATGTAGATTAAATTGTCACTGGCAATCTCATAGGCGGTAAGATAGTTTTAATAAGGATAAGTATATAATTAAACGGGAGCTCTTAAAGACTCCTGGTAACATTTTAATTGGTTTAACCTTCTGCCTGCAACTGACAACTGGTATTCAGTAAAAGCCATAAAAACATAATATTGTTGGACCTAGGAATAGCCCCAAAGAGGTTATGAAGATGTTAACTGAATTATTTTTCTTTTTCATTTTTTGGGTAGCAGCTTTATTATTATATAATTCAAACAACATAGAAGTAACACATTTAAAGTATACAATTCAATGGTTTTTAGTACAGGTTGTGTGTCCCTAATACAAAAATCTGAAATGCTCCAAAATCCAAAACCTTTTGAGTGCCAACATGACACTCAAAGGAAAGCTCATTCTGGATTTTCAGACTAGGTTGCTCAACCAGTAAGTACATAATTTAATGCAAACATTTCCAAATCTGAAAAAAAAAGTCTAAAATTCAAAATATTTCTGGTCTCAAATATTTTGGATAATACTCAACCTGAATATTCAGAGTTGTGCAACCATCAACACAATCAATCTCGGAACATTTTTCTCACCTCGAAAAGAAACCTTCAAAAAACTAGTTGGGCATGGAGGCATGCACCTGTGGTTCCAGCTACACAAGAGGCTGAGGCAGGAGGATTGCTTGATCCTGGAGGTCAAGCTACGGTGAGCCATGTTCACGCCATTGCACTCCAGCCTGCAGCCTGGGTGACAAAGCAAGACCCTCTTTCCAAAAAAAAGAAAAAAGAAAAAAAGAAACCCCCATATCATTTCACTATCATCCCCTAATTCCATGCCTACCCCTAGCCCTAAGCAACCACTTCCTTACTTTCTGTCTGTATATATTTGCCTATTCTGGACATTCATATAAATGGAATCAAATAATATGTGGTCTTTTGTGACTGGCTTCTTTCGTTTAGCATACTGCCTTCAAAGGTTATGTATGTTACAGCACGTATTAGTATTTTCTTTTTATGGCCCAATAAGATTCCATTGTATAGGTCGGGTGTGATGGCTCATGCTTGTAATGCCAGCACTTTGAGGCTGAGGAGGGAGGATTGCTAGAGGCCAGGAGTTTGAGACCAGTCTGGACAACATAGCAAGTCTCATGGCATCCCAACCTGCGTCACGGAGCTAGACCCCATCTCTTAAAAATAAAAATTCCATTGTATATAGATGTATCACATTTGATTTATACGTTCGCCAGCTGATTAACATTTAGGTTGTTTCATCTTTGGCTATTATGAATAATGCTAACATTTGGAAAAACGTTTTTGCATGGACAAGTATTTTCATTTCTCTTGGATATATATTTAAGAGTGGAATTTGCATTACTTTTATTGGAGTGAAAATCAGAAGCAATTTCATGGTCTAACAACGGAATTATGTTACACTCTCAATAGTATTATGCAGAAATGCTACACTCTCAAGAGAAACATGCAGAAAAATGGTGGCTTTGTTGAATGAAGACCAAATAATAATAGGCTACATGAAGTGAAAAAAAGAAAAAAAAAAAAAGGATACAACCCACTTGAAATCCTCCTAGGGCTTCCCATGGGACTTCCCATTCCTTCTTCTGTTCTATGGCATCTGTCCTCTGCTTCCACATCCTGCCTCAGTTGTCTGAGGGCCAACCACACTAGCTTTCAGAGATTCTTAGAAACGTCCCAGCTTCGGAGCCTTTTCACATAGCTTCCTCTGCTTGTATCATTCTTTGCCCAGTGGTTTCAAGTCTCATCTTAAATGTCACTTCTTCAGAAAAACCTCTGATATCCCAAACCAGGAGAAAGGCAAGTGTTTCCATAGCAGCCGGAGATTTTCCATCTTAATGGTTTTGATATAGAATTGTTTACTTGGTCAAATATTGAGAGCCTTTTATATGCAGGGATACAAGGTGAAACAAAACATGCAAGATCCCTGCCACTTGCGACCTTATATTCTAGGGAGGGGATACAGTGAACAAATAAATGCACTTGGTAATTTTACATACTGATAGCTCAATGGTTATCCTCTGTTTGGACTGTAAACTCCATGAAGGCAGGAGCTATGTCTGTCTGGGCTACTTCCAGTTTGCTGAGACTCTGGCCACTAAATAAGCTCAATACATATTTTTTCACTGACAAAACAAGTATATGAAAGACAGAAATGGAAAAAAAACGGGACTTCTATAAATGGAGATCTAGCTCTTCCTCTTTCAATACTTTCTGTAATACTACATAGCTTTAAATAATTAAATCAATTAAAATAGCAAAAAGTTACTCTTTGTAGTAACAGAACCCCAAATAAAACCCATTTATGTCACCACACACTCGTTAAGTACCTGGTAATAAAACCTATTCTGAAATACCCAGACGTGTTGGTTAAGTGGATAAAATCCAATTGGCGCATTGCCAAACAGGTTCCTCCCCGTCAGCAGCACAGTTTATAGTTTTTCACAGAGGCCTTAAGCACCCATCATTTGATTCTCCCTCATTTTCCGATTTCTAAAACCCTTTAGAATCTCCCTCCACCCACACGATGTGGCAGCGAGAAAAACCGCAATTCTATTTACACGTCAATGGTAAGAGAACACATAATATTTTGCCAGGTCAACAAATTTGCAAGATCTCCACCCAAGAGAACAGTATCCCCTTTCCAGTGAATCATTCTAAGACGCTGGAGACGAGTAGGGCTAGATAAAACCAAGCTACCCTAAGGCTGGACCAGAGAAGCCGATCGTGAGCTACCTTCCCCCAAGCGCAGCGCTCGGCAGCCTCTTTCTTCCCCAAGCGCATGCGCAGCACACTCCCCGGCCACCACACGCCTCCTCCATGGGGTCGGGAGACGTTGACGTCACCGTGCAGTCTGCAAGCAACCCTTCCGCTCCTTCAAGGAAAATGAGTCCACGGATTTTCTTAGCCCCCAGAAAATGTCCTTCCTCTTTCCATCCCAGTGTCAACGACTTCCCCAGCCCGTCTCCTTTCGGCCGGACTTCTCTGTACTTTCGTTGGACCAGAAAGGCGGAGGGAGGGAAGAGGAAGGGTGAAAGACCAATTCCGTGTTGTTTACAAGGAGTAGGCGAGTCTAGGAATCGGTCCGCGAGGGCGGAGCCGAGGAAGCCGGCACTTCTTCCTTCTTTCCCCTCCCTCCCCAGCCTTCCCCGCGAGCGGACGCGGCAGCGCCTCTGTCTCGCTTTTTCTTATTTTTTCCCCCCTTTCCCCTTTCTTTTTTTTTTTTTTTTCTTTTCTTTTCCCCCCTCCCCCCCTTTCACCATTTCCTCTCGGAGGCGCTTTCCCCGGGCAGGGGCAGAGCCGGTCTCACCCCCCCGCCTCTCCCCGGCCCCCGCCGCCCTATGGCTAGAGGGAGCCCCCTCCCCACCCAAGCTCGAGCGGCGGCGGCCTCAGGCCGGGGGTCATCATGGAACTAATTCGCTGACCGACCCAGCACCCGCAGCCGTGCGTCCCGCTCGAGCGCCAGCGCCGGCGCCCCCCGACCCGCTTCCCCCTCTTCTCCCTCCTCAATCGGCCCCGTAGTCCCGCGCGCACCGCCGCCGCGCGCCGATGAGAATGAGGTGGTAACGGGCCCCCGGATGACCCCGCGTCACCACTGTGAGGCCTACAGCTCAGCCGGGGAGGAGGAGGAGGAGGAAGAGGAGGAGAAGGTGAGGGGCGGGGGCGGGGGGCTCGACGCGTCTCCGCGGCCGGCTTACGCGCTGGGGCCTCGCTGCTGCCCCCGCGCTGCCCCATTGGCGGCGCCCGTGGCCGCGCGCTGCTCGCTGGAGACCCGCCCTCCTGCATCCCCCAGCCCGGGGAACCTCGGGGCAGCCCTCTTCGTCCTCTCCGGCCCAAACCGACCCGGCACCTGCCCAGTTGAAAACAGCGCTACTGTGTTCCTTTTCGGGCCAATTTTTCTGTCAGCGAGTAACTTTTTTTGTGGCAGCGGCAAATTAGCTACTCTGTAGTGCGTGTTGGAGGCTTTACGAGCCTGTGTTAATACACAAAGAAGGGGACACACCCCCACCCTCAGGTTGAACGATCCTGCTGGGACACCAGGAAGATTACTAACTTTGCACAGCGGAGTGAATGCCAAATGAATGGGGTGAACCTGCGGTGCTGTGAAATTTGGGGGAGGGCAACGTTACCCAGGGCTTGGTGCGGGTGGGTGGTGGGAATCCGGAGGAGGTGAGATTTGAGTTGTACCCTAAAGGCTCGATTAAATAACTGAAATTTGAAAGGAGGACAAAGAGGCCTCTGCTGGAGCTAGGAGGTTCCGTTACAGATCCTTTTGGCAGAAGTTGACATTTGGGTAGCAAAACAGTGGAATGTGTTTCGGGAGGTAGAATGGATTCAGACTTTGAAGGGGTTTGAACTAAAATATTTATGTTTTATTCTGTCAATGGCGAGCCACTCGACTTAGAGCAGCAGGGTGTTACGGTAATGACGTTAAATAACAACACTTGATGAGGCTGATTATCTGCCAGGCATTCTCCTAAACGGCTTGCAATTCATTTAATCCTCCCAAGGCTGGTAGTAGGAGCCTCATCTTACAGATGAGGAAAACTGAGACGCCTCAAGATTAAGTAATTTTCTCCTTAGGCAACACGGCTAAAACCCGGTAACCAGAATTAAGCCTAACTGTATGCTGTGTGGTATCTGTCCTGAAAATGAGTTTGTTAACAGTGTTAGCTGCTTCTAGCTTTTCCAGGTCATTTGTGGCAGATGAAATAAAAAGGATTGGACAAATAGATTAAGAAATAATGGACGGAATAGATTTAGATTGGCTAGTCTGGGACCAGAGAATCTCCGAGAGATTCTGAGCCCCTGGACTAGAAATTTCTTGATACCGATGAAGGGCCGACTAAAGTTCAGGAAAGACGATCTGTAGTTACAGATAGTTTATGTGGTAATGTGACATCCTAGTAGGTTAGAATGGAACTTAGCATGTGTCTTGGTCAAAATTGGAAACTTGAGTGTGTCCGTGTTTTATGTTGATTGTGTAATACATTAAAAATGAAGAATATTCATCTTCCTGTGTATGTTTCTTCGTCTTTAAAATGGGCTTTATGGCTGAAATGGGGGTGTAGTAAGAAAAATAAAAATAAAAAACTCGAAAAAAAGGGCTTCCCACAATTTGATTAAATTGTGGGAAGGTTACATGAGTTAATATGGCATAGCGCTTTGAACAATAGGCCGTCAAGTAGTAAGCACTCAGTGCTTTTACTTGTTAAGCTCTTTACAAGTGAAGATATTAATTATTAGGCATATGCTCAACTCCGGAGATTAACATCAAATAATTCATTATTAGAAAAGGCAAGTCTACCAATAATCATCACAAAGCAACTAGATGTAAAAGTAGAATTATGTCCAAGTACAGATGTGGGAAGGCAGAGCACAACAGCACAAATCCGGAGAGTCTTACAGACTGATGGCTACTTTAGGAAGGGAAGTATGAACTAGAGGATATACCAAGTTGAAACAACAGTGTGTACAGCCATGGAGATTAGGAAAGAGCATATACTTGGAATCGCAAATACCTTTAATTCATTGTTTCCAGTGCATAAAGTCAAGGAGGGAATAGTAAAACTTCAGTTTCTTGTATGGCCACATTAATCCCTCCTTTCAGAAGGGGAACTAAGATTCAGAAGTCAGCACCAGTACAGGATTATTAATGGAATTAGTATGATAATGATGGCAAATACAGTAATAGATATTAGTGAAGTTGTTTATATTGTATACCCAGCACTGTGCAGCACTTTTCCTCAGAGGAGCAGGGGACCATGTATGTATATCTGTAATAGTTATGCTGTACAATAAGCCTTTTATAAACTATTGCCTCAGACATTAAGCTATTTGATAACCGTGGAGAAAGGAGAAGCAGCAGCAATTGAGAGAATGGAAGGAGAAATGTGAAGCTGGCATAAAGTTTGTGTGTGGAATATGCCAACCAAAATAGTCTTTTGTTATTTCCTGCTTTTCTAAAAAAGCTTGCAAAATTGGATATGACCAACGATAGACATACAGTAACAAAATAGAACTATATAGTTCTGTTTATTCAAACAGTAAAATTGTGTTTTAAATGTTTGCATTTTATTTCTTAGCAGAATTTATTAATCCAACTCAAAATGTGTTTTACACGTTAGAAAACCGGCTTGTGCACTGTCAGTAAAAGAAAACCCAAGCCCATGCTTTCTGTATCATAGTATGTCTTACTAGTCTTGTCTTTTGTTCTCTCTTTATATAGAACATACATTATGACCCTTTACTGCTAAATATTTCAGAATAATAGTAATACTTTCTTACAGAATCACAGCAAAATTTTCAATTTTGGTAAATTTAGCAATCGATACATTGACTTGTGTAATCTGTCCCAGTTATCTCATTTGACCCAATAATGACCTTTACACCATTTGTCTCCTTCCAGTACTGGATCCAATTGAAGGTCAGGTATTGCAGTTTCTTTTCAATTTTTTTTTTTTTTTTTTTTTTTTGGAGACAGAGTGTCCCTCTGTTGTCCAGGTTGGAATTCAGTGGCGTAATCGGCTAAATGCAACCTCCACCTCCTGGGTTCAAGTGATTCTTCTGCCTCAGCCTACCGAGTGACTGGGGCCGCAGGCGTGCACCGCTACGCCTGGCTCATTTTTGCATTTTTAGTAGAGATGGGTCTTACCATGTTGGCCAGGCTGGTCTCCAACTCCTGGCCTCAAGTGATCCGCCTACCTTGGCCTCCCAAAGTGCTGGGAGTACAGGCATGAGCCACCCTGTGCAGCAATTTTTTGTGGCCTCATTTAATCTGCAACATCCCCAAAGGTATCCCCCATTGTTTTTGTCTTGCAATTATTTGTATCCCATTTTTATTTTATTTTATTTATTTATTTTTTTTTAGAGATTGGGTCTCACTTTGTTACCCAGGCTGGAGTGAGGTAGTGTAATCATAGCTGACTGCAGCCTCAAACTCCTGGGCTTATGTAATCCTCCCACCTGAGCCTCCTGGGTAGCTGAGACTACGGGCAGGCGTATGATATCATGCCTGGCTAATTTAAATTTTTTTTTTTTTTTTGGTAGAGATAGGTCTTGCTCTGTTGCCCAGGCTGGTCTCAGACTCCTGGCCCCGAGTGCTTCCCTCCTGCCTCACAAAGTTCTGGGATCACAAGCAGGTGCCACCATGCCCTGCTATCTGTCCCATTTTTAAAAGTTTAAGGAAATTATGCCTCTTTTTACTTTGTTAGCTTTCTCCAGAGTGAGCAAAGAGTGATTCTTTTGTTTTTTTCCTATTGATAATGTTGTATTGCATTGGTTTCTGAATCTTAAAACAAGCTTGCATTCCTGGAACAAATCCCACTTGGTTATGGTGTATAATTCTTTTTTTATATTGCTGGATTCAGTTTGCTAGTATTTTGTTGAGAAATTTTGCATTTATATTCAGAAGAAATACTAATCTAGTTTTCTAGTGATGTCTGTCTGGTTTTGGTAGCAGGGTAATAATAACTGGCTTCAAAGAATAAGTTGGGGAGAATTTGTAAAGAATTGTTATTAGTTTTTCTGGAAATGGTTGGTAGAATTAGCCAGTGAAGCCATCTGGGCATGGATTTTTCTTTGACAGTGCTTTAAAAAATTAACTGTTTAAATCTTTGGTTTTACAACTACTCAGCTTTTTCTTTCTTTCTTTCTTTTTCTGTTTTTGTTGGTTTTTTTTTTTTTTTTTTTTTTGGAATAATCTCACCAGTGCAGCTTTTTACTTCTTAAGTTTTGGTATTTTGTATTTCTGGGAACTGGACCATTTCATCTAAATTTTCCAATTTAGTTGCACACAGTTGTTCATAAAATTCCTTTATAATTCTTTTTGTTTCTGTAAGGTAGGTAGTAATGTCTTTTTTTTAGTCTTGATTTTAGTAATTTGTCCTCTGTATTTTCGTGGTCAGTCCAGCTAGCTAAAGGTTTGTCCATTTTTATCTTTTCAAAGAATCAGCTTCTGGTTTCATTGACTTTTCACTGCTGTTTTTGTATTCTCTACTTCATTAATTTCCATTCTAATATTTAATATTTCCTTGCTTCTGTCTTGCTTTAGGAACAGTTTACTCTTCTTTTTCCATTATGTTAAAGTAGAAGATGAGGCTCTTGATTTGAGATACCTTTTTTTAGTAGAGGCATTTTCAGGTATTATTTCTAAGCACTGCTTTAATTGTATCTGATAAGTTTTGGTATGTTATGTCTTCATTTTCACCCATCTCAAAGTATTTTCTTATTTCCCATGTGACTCTAACCAGATACCTTTGTTTTTTAAAAAAAAAAAAAAAGTTGTTACAATATAAACATTTGAAAGTCATACTGAGGGCTTTAATTGTAGGCCATTGGAGAACAGGAATCCATTGAACCTGATTTATTTCTGTTTACATGATTCTACTTTATGTGTCTCTCTCTCTACCCATCTAAACCCTCTAAAAATAATCTTGAAATCTAGTGAAGAAACTTGAGTCACTAGTGACAGTCAGTTGTTGGGATAGCTTGTGAAGGCTGGTGGATCCATTTGGTTGTAGCTAATGGCGTGAAAGAATTATTAAAGTTCTATGGTTTTTAATAGGAGTTTGGAAGAAACCTTAGAACCTGTGAAGTCTAATCTTGACCCAAATAGCTGTTTCTTCTAAATATCTCTTGACAGATGGTC